GAGAGAGAGAGAGAGAGAGAGAGAGAGAGAGAGAGAGAGAGAGAGAGAGAGAGAGAAACATACGAAACATCGAGATGGAAACGGAAAGAGAGGTGGGAGCGAAACACGGAGTAAACCAGGGGATCGACTTACCATAATTTTGGTAGCACCGGACCGTTCCCTTCAACCGACTGTTGAATATTCCCTCGCTTATTAGAAAGGGTTTCTGTAATCGACGCCAGACNCGAGCGGGTGTACCTCTACCCGTGGCATCGGCGTACCAGCCAGTCCAGAATGGGATTCCAATTAAAGTAATAACGAATCCGGCCTGCGCACTTTTTTCTTCGTCGTCGCAAATAATCGCGTCCTTCCGTCGCGCGACACCCCTCCTCCCCTCCATTTCTCTCTCTCGTACGTGTGTGTGTGCATCGCGATCGAGAAGGCCTCTTCCTCTCCTTCCTCCTCCCCTTTCCCCGTGAACGGAGCCTAAGTCGAATTTAAATCGGTCGAATTAACGAAACGACGACGAGGCGACGATAAATTTCTAAAAGAACCCTGCGCGTCGACGAGAGAAAAAAAAAAAAGAGAAAGAAATAATAGAAAGCGTGTGACGAAATTTCTCCTCCACCAGATTCCTCTCTCCCTTCGGTGTAACGGGATGAAAGGGATTGATTCGACTTCGTTCGAATTAACGTATAATAATCGAAAGATGAACAGTGGTTGGCTGGAGGGGCGCGATAAATTTAAATTTCTCCGGAATGGTGTGTATCCGCCTATATAGGGAGCGAGAGAGAGCGAAAGATAGAGAGAGACAGGGACAGGTTGTTAGCACGCTGCCGGCCATCAACATAATTAACCCCCCTAAGTGGAGACGCCTGTGTATCATTATTAGTACATGCGCGGCGGATGTTACAGGGTTCGAATGTGCTTACGAGAATTTAGGACCGCGTCAGGTGTCCTGATTTGGCTAATGCGAAATATCCAATTAACCGGTAATGGAGCCTTTATCGCATCCGGTGGCATCGGTCCCGCGGAATTTCAACCCCGCCGCGAGATCCACGCCGCGAATTCGACACAGGGAAAATATGTTTGCCATCGTTTCGTGATCCGCGTCCCGAGACGAGATTCGAAGATTTCGCGGTATTCTATTTCACATATAAAATCCAATATAGATTCAGTTTCAAATGTAATTTGCGATCTGTAATTTGGGAAAATTCGGGAAAATAATTTCGTTCCTCCTTCGTTATCCTTTCTATAAATTCGACGATATCATAGAATAGGACACATTTGAACGATAAAATAATGGAGCGCACAGTTCTACGACAGGAATTCGAAATTAATTCGAATTTGGCGAATATGTATTATATAGAGAAAGAAATATAATCGTATATCATACGCGATGATACACGATTGCCCATTACGCCGAGTATACAGTAACATAACACGTCGAGAAACGAGGAAACGCGCGCGCACACATACCACTCTCCATCATGTCCCTCTATTATCACCCCAATCACAAGTCCTCCGAACATTACCATCCGCCCCATCTACCTATCATCCCGATCCCATCGAACCTCCATTACCTTCCCATTTGTCACCACCGCCTTAATCAACCACCTCTCATCGTCGCACTCGTCGTGTCTCCCATCCATCCTCCCTCTTTCTCTTCGTCTTCTTCTTCTTCTTCTTCTTCTTCTTCTCTTTTTCTTTTTTTCCAGTTCGCAACGGCTACTCGTGCGTACCTGTTGCTCTGTCCGAGGGCCTGGACATCCGGCTGAACACGGCGGCAAGGGCGGTCCGCTACGGGGTGAACGGGGTGGAGGTGTGGGCCGCACCCTCGCGCAGCCCCCACACAAATCACACGGTGTACAAGGCGGACGCGGTGCTGGTCACCCTTCCCCTCGGAGTGCTCAAGGCGTCCGCGCCGCCGTCCGCGGTCGCCTTCAATCCTCCGCTTCCGGACTGGAAGTCTCAGGCTATTCAGAGGCTCGGTTTCGGCAATTTAAATAAGGTAANCCCCCCTCCCCACCTTCATCCGTCCGACCGCTGATTTATGCCCCCACGGCAGAGGACGACGATCGAAGTTGTCGGGCCCCGGGAATGAGATATATTGTGATCGGGCGGCGCTCTTTCGTCGCGAGCGGAACGGTGACGTGGCTCGTGTCGCTTCTTACGCCGGGACACGTTCCTTTTACGGGGCCTCCCGTGGTCGGTTTACGAGCCGGGCCCCCATCATCCCCCTCCCCCTCCTCCTTCTCCTTCTCCTTCTCCACGGGAAATTAAAGGCTCATCGCGAGGCGAAACGGATCCACCCGATAAAGCCCGGTCGAATAAATTCGCCACGATTTCGGTTCGCCGGTAATTTCGATGGAATCGATGTTTGGATGCCGTGGGAGAGAATGGGCCCGGGATCTTGCGGTTTAGGGCTTGTGGGGTGTTCGCGGGTCGTCCGTACGCGGGGAGGAGAGGGCGTCGTTTCGAGTTTCGGTTAAATTGGACGTGGGTTTAACCGGTTGGCTGCCGTATGACGGCAGCCCTCGCGCGTCACACCTCGTTCGATGCGCTGTGATGCGGGGTATAATACGCGTCCAAGCGGTTTATTCATTTCGTGGGACGGTTTATCTCGATTCGAGATAGACGCGAGAAGAAGATGGCCGCGTCGATCCGCGTGTATTTATAGCCAGATTTCTAGCAAAGGTTCCTTGAGAACCTTTTAATCCTTTTTGCTCTCTGGGATTGTTGCGGCAACTTGAACGGTGACAATATTTATTTATGTTTGATTTTTTTAGAATATCGGTTCATAAGTAGATTCCTAAGCCTTTTATGTATAATCTTACGAGTAATTATCTTATGGTAATCTTATGAGTCCACCTAACGCACCGAATGCGCGGGTCTGAGTCTGGAGTTGCTGGTTAGACCGAGCGAAACCTGGAGTGCAAAGGGTTAATAAGGTTGGCCCGATGCGAAGGGAAACACGTATATCGAAGATAGGATTTCTTTCAATTCGATTCATTGAAATTTGAAAAGTTTGTGAGTGAAAAATTTTTTGAGAAACTTGTCCAATCAGCCAACAACGTGTCAAAAACGGTTATCGTCGTGTGGGCGTAAATATAGCGAACGATGAGACGTCGAGGATCCGTTTCCTTTTTATCCGCGCGACACGAAGTCAATTGGGTTGAAATTCGGGGGGATCTCCGTCGGGAATACAGGCCCTGAATTTTGTAATTCTCTTAAACGATGGCGAGCACTCTGTAAAGAGAATGATTCATGGGGACGAGGGAACGGAGATAAACGTTTACGTGAGCAACCCTTAAACCGCAGGATTTGCCGGAACCAACGGGTATATAATATTTTCTCCAAACAAGCTTACGAGCATCCACTGTAATCTCCCCAACGTTTCGCGTTGTAGAACAGAAAATTATATCCTGTATAATTGAAAATCCCAAGTTTGAACCTTGTTTGAGATTTTCCCCAAATTAGAATTCTTAAAATCCACTTTTCGCGTCGTCCGAGATTCTAATATCTCGTAGAAACTTTCTCCATCATCCCCTCGCCCATCGTCCAATTGGAAACTCTCGTCCACCGAAAACTCGACCGGTTGGTTCGTTGGAATGATCGGTCGGCGCACCTCGGTCGAGAATAATCGGTGGACGAGGGCCGCTAGGGCAAGGAAGTAATTCCCGGGAATCCGTCACGTCAGGTGGTGCTGTGCTTCGAACGGATCTTCTGGGATCCGACCGCCAATTTGTTTGGCCACGTGGGGAGCACAACCGCGTCGCGTGGTGAGCTCTTCCTCTTCTGGAACCTTTACAAGGCGCCGGTGTTATTGGCCCTGGTCGCTGGAGAGGCTGCCTGCGTCATGGAGAATGTCAGCGACGACGTGATCGTTGGACGTTGCATAGCCGTCTTGAAGGTAAATTTTTATTAAATCGATCGTTTCTTTCTCTCTTTTCTTTTTTTTTTTTCTCCTAACAGATTTATGGAAAAAGCGGAATGAATGCGCGAAAATTCATTGATCTTAGATTAGATCGATCGATCGAAAGAATATGTTTAGAAAAGTGTCGATCTGATCTGTATATTTTGGGATTGCACGAATAATACATCGTGTTTTTTTCAAGGGTATTTTTGGAAACCAAGTGGTTCCACAGCCGCGCGAGAGTGTAGTGACGAGATGGCGAGCGGATCCATGGGCGAGAGGCTCGTACAGTTTCGTCGCGGTCGGCAGTTCCGGTAGCGATTACGATCTTTTGGCCGCCCCAGTCGCGCCCCCTGCCACCCCTGGCGCACCGCCGCCGCAACCCAGGGTTTTCTTCGCAGGTAAATATTTAGCCTCCGCGATATTTTTATCGGCTACCTCTTTCTCGCTCCTTTTCCTCGGAGAAGCGGACGAAAGTGGAGTCTGTCGGCTGATAAAGGGAGCGCAATTCCCGACGTGAATCGTATCTTTTTGAAGGCGGCCGGGCTTTTCTCACCAATCCCTTTCATCCTCAATAGTACCCTTTCGAAATTGGATTTCACGGTTTCGTGATAGATTTAAGACAAGTTGTTTAAGAATTCTATCGCAAACAAAAAATGATAGCACGTGCTATGATTTTCAATGTTTCTCGAGATTAAGATGCAATACATTCAAATTTTATATTTTATACATTTCTTATGTAAATTCAGATAAATTTTTTGCAATGGTGAATCCAAATTTGGTCGCAAAAATCACCTTATCGAGTTACGCTTAGAATGTTCATAGAAGCACCACATCGGGAAAGCTTACTCCAGAAACACAGAAAAATCATATATACGGTACATTTTCTAAAAAAGCATCTCCTTCTCGACTCTTTTACCAACCTCTCGACCTTCTTTTAACAAACTCCTTGTCAAAACAAAATTGCCTTTCCATTTATATCCTCGCTCATATCTCGGTCCCTTAAAATCGACCAAGGTCGCCATCTTCGAACAGCCGACCCGAGGAGAAGAAAGACGAGGGGATAGAGGAGGAGTGTGTTTCGCTCAAAACGGAGTAACCTCGTCCCTCATTTCTTTTTTCTCTCTTTTATTTATTTATTTATTATCTTCTTCCCCCGTTTCTTCTTTAACGCGGTCGCGGACCGATCTGTGCTTTCAGGAGAGCACACCATACGAAATTACCCGGCTACCGTGCACGGCGCATTTCTCAGCGGACTACGCGAGGGTGGACGGATCGCGGATCAACTCTGCGGAAGCCCTTACGCGCCACCGACGATGCCCGCTTCCGGCCCAGCGCCCACGGCCATTCCAACCGCGACCACCGGATCCACGACCACGCCTTAGCGTCCTGCCGCGGAATCCTTGGCCTTCGATCGATAAAAAATGAAACAAGAAAAAGAAAAAAAAAAAAAAAGCGTTACAATATCATCATACGATTCAATCGATCATCATCGTCATTCTATTATTATTATTCTCGCTTATGACGACGCGAAAGAAAGTACGAAAGGTAGCTGGAATTTTTCGTCTTCGA